TAGCTACTCTGGAGGCTGAGGCAACAGGATTGCTTGAGCCCAAGAATTTGAAGTTGTGAGCTAAGGCCACCCCATTGTACCCAGGACAATGGATTGAAACTTCATGTCAAGAAAAAAAAATTAAGGGTATAATTCTGTACCCAGATAATTTATTAGTAATATTTGGCTTACTCTCTTTATAAATTTAAGTGGATCCTAGTAAATTCCACTTGATATTTTATCTTGAATTGAGCATTTTCCATTTCTTCATGTCCCTTCCTCAAACACTTAATTTTAGTATCTGCATGACAGCCTTTTGGCCTCTTGGGCTGGTAAAATTCAGAATGATCCCATTCATTGGGCTGGATGTGGGACCTAGTGCTGCAGATCGTTCTGGGAAGTTGGCATAGAAGATGATTTCCACAGTGAAACCAATGCTTAAGATCCAGCAGGCCCTGGCCTTGTTTTTTGCTCTGTGATACAGAAACGTTTCTGTATGAACATGCCACATGTTCTGCCAGAACATGCATAAAAATGAGCAGCATATTGAATATGTCACCAGCCATTTCATCCTTATGATGTTGTAATGTTGTGGAGGCTGCCATGTTAAATCCAGGAATCTGCTCTGCCACTGTTCCATTTTAAATCCAGGTATCTGCTTTGGCAGCTGTTCCTCAATGTACTTTTTACCAAAGAAATATATTTATTAAAAGTAGGTGCCTAGGTGAGTTTATTCTCTTCTGTGTCTTTAAATTCCTCATAGTACTTGTCCATGAAATTTCTCTGTAATAACTGGAACTCATCATCCATTAAGGATATTCTCTGAATATCCCACCACCCACCACAGCATCTAATTTTGCAACAGAAATGGAGAAAAAGGACAGTGTGAGGCTCTCATCTTGTAAGGCAGTGTTTTTCAACCTATTTTATCTCATGACATACTTGAACCTGTAGTTGAATTTCTGTAGCACATTTAAATTATGTTCATTAAAAAAAAAAGAATATACTTACTGTGCTTTAAACTTCTTTCAAAAATAATTTAATGAATTATCTCTAAACATTCTCATGGCATACCTAAGATCCTCTAACACGGTGGTTCTCAACCTTCCTAATGCCTCCTAATGCTGCGACCCTTTAACACGTTCTTCATGTTGTGGTGACCCCCAACCATAAAATTATTTTCATTACCACTTCGTAATTATAATTTTGCTACTGTTATGAATCATAATGTAAATATCTGATATGCAGGATGTATTTTCATTGTTACAAAGGGGTTGTGACCCACAGGTAGAGAACCGCTGCTCCAACAGCACCTAGAAAATCACCATTTTAAGATTTCCATTGTCACCTTCACTGCACCCATCCATTGAAGTGAGTGGGACAGCTGAGTTCCCACCTTGCCCATGGCCTGGGGCTGGGTCCAGCCTCTGTTCTCTGTAATGTCCTAGCCTGTGTGGAGGGCATGGCACTCAGCTGGCTGGTAGGGACCTACTGGCCCAGGCAACTGCCTGCTCACTGCTCAGCCAGGTCAGTGCAGACAGCCTGCTCTGAGTGTACTGCCACCAACTTCGCATTCTTTAATCAATTTCTATATGTGTGTTTTTAAAAATAGTTTTGTCTTTTAACCTTCACATTAGAGATACAATTGATTTTCACACCACCATTGCAGAATAATCATTCTGAGTTTGACTATTTGCTTATCAGTGAGTTTTATATTTTAATATACTTTCATGTTGTTTTTACTTAGTTAAGTTTTTTGTCAGCTTGAAGGACTGATTTTAGCATTTCAATGAAAGCTGGAATAGTAATAATACATTCCTTTTGCTTTTGTCTGAGGAAAGTTTTTATCTTTCTTTTATGAAGGATGGGAATTCTGGGTATAATACTCTTGGTTGGTAGCTTTTTTTCTTTCAGCTTTTTAAATATGTCATTCTACCCTTTTTGGGCCTGCCAAGATTCAGTTAAAAAATTCATAGAAAATCTTATATAGTACTTTTCTATGTAACAAGTCACTTTTCCCTTTCAGCTTTCAATATTCTCGGTTTTTAACTTTTGACAATTTTCTTATTATAATGTGTCTTGTTGTGGGTCTCTTTGAATTCATCCTATTAAGTGTCCATTAAATCTCCTGTTTGTCCTCTAGACTTGGAAACTTTTGACATTACTTCTTTGAATGTGTTTTTTTTGGTCACCTTTTCTTTTTATTCTCCTTCTGGTACTCCAGTAATACATATTTTATTCATCTTGATGGTGTCCCAGAAGTTCATTACACTGTCTTAACTCTTTTGTCTTTTTGCTCCTTTGTCTAAATGATTTCCAATGACCTGTTTTTAAGTTCTCTCATTTTGTTTTCTCTGTTAGATAGAATCTGCTGTTGAACTTCTCTAGAATTTTTGTTTTCAGTTATTGTAGTATTCATCTGAATGATTTGTGTTTGGCACATTTTTTACATTTTCTGTTTTTGTTGAAATTCTATTGGTCCTTGCATTGCTCTTCTTCCTTGGTGAGGATCTTTACCATTGTCCTTTTGAATTTCCTGTCAGGTAAATGACATATCTTCATTTCATTAGGTTTGGCCTCTGGAGATTGATCTCATTTTTTCTATTCAGAATACATTCCCTTGTTTCTTCATTGTTATTGAATCTCTTTGTTGGTCTCTGCACATTACATAAGAGATCCACCTCTCTCAGGCTTGTTGGCCTGATTTTGTGTGTGTGATATTCCTCCTTAATTAGGCTGGGCAGAGATTCTAGATGTCTCTAAACTCTTAGTGCTTGTTGAAACTTCTGTCTTTGTTGTTCATGCATTCCTTCCCCAAATGAGAAAGTGTTAATTTGTGCTATTACCTTGAAAGAGTTGGGATACAAGCCAGTCCCTTGGGTTGCAACTGGAGAGACTGGGGTTTTAGATGTGTGTTCCATTTCCTTCTTTATTTACAGAGAAGCTGAGAGCCAGAGTTGATCTTTTACTCATTCTTTCCTTCACCAAAAAAAAAAAAAAAAAGCACAGAGGTGCCTTTACTCTTTATAAGGTTGCTCACTTTCAACCTGGGGAGATAACTGCAGAATATTTTCTTTTTTTT